GCAGTGCGGCAGCGGGTTACTACATGATTTCTCACATAACTTGCATTTCACGAACACCTTGTGCGGTCCACAAGCTTGCGTGCGACCTGATGCTAAGCGTGAACGTATAAGTTACTTATGCATTTCAATTATAACGCATTAAACTTAACTTGATATAACTTACCTTAATGAGGTTTGAAATAAAAGAAGTTATGAAATAAAAGAACTTTATTTGAAAGAAAAGATGCAGAAGTCTTTGTACCCCGACAGTTTGCTAAGACCTTACTTACTGCCGTTGTTCGGCGAGCATTGGTCGAGCGCAACGCATCGTCCGTCCCTATCCCTCACGAGCCCCTCCTTGCAGAAGCAGCCGCGCTCGCAGTGGTCAGAGCAGGACGGCTGCGGGTTATCGCAACTCTTGTAGCACGTTTCGCACAGCTTGAACTCCTCATTCTCCTTGCACGAAGGGTCCTTGAATAGACTTCTTTTTCGTTTCTTAAATAGAGCTGAGAATTAACACGTTTTAGTTCGTTACTTTAGATATAGCGTTATTCATAGCATTGTTGCACTGCTTATAGAAGATTACTAGACAAGTAAAAAAGCTTTGACATGGACTAGTTACTTATTTCACCGGTATTTCTATTTTAAGTCAACTAAATGCTACTTGTGTACACATGCTAGTCGTATATACTCACTAGGACATTCTGAGACCTCAACACAGAGTCCGGTGTCGTCGTCGCGCAGTCTATCAGCGAGGCAGAAGCAACCCTCGACGCACTGCTGCGTGCAGGTAGGATTGGGCCGGTCGCAGGTGCGTTCGCACGCCGGCCCGCAACGATCGAACTTTTCACCTGGCCCGCATCCTTCGCCTACAAGTTAAATTACAATTACAAAATAACTACATAATCATTATCAGCTATACATTCCCACTAAGAGTTTCGAAATCTACCCTAAGTAAGGGGTGTCTAGTCGTATTCGTGCTGGTCCACTGCGGGTTGACTTCAAACATATCTGCGAATTTCTTTGCCGGTATGTTTTCCTTCACAGTAAGAAATTCAGGTAAATGTATTTGTACCTAAATACTGTAAGAAAATTCGAACCTAATACCTACAGATTATAATTCAAAATACAACTTATTTTAGTCTAAAAGATCGTTCATGCCAATCATATATTTCATAATCTCATCTATACTTCTATACTATTATAATAAAGCGTAAACATACACTTATTTGTTGCCTAAGATGTCAGCAATTACAGCATATTTTTCAATAATTCTTTTTTTAATAAAAAGTCCTACACATACGTGACGCTTTAGGCTATATATTTCCACGCCGTTAAACTTAGGGGTAAATATTTTGGATAAAAACCCTAATGTGGGAAACGGGCCATAAGTTGTTGCCAACATCAAGGCATTTGACATTGTCATTTTGACATTTGCTATTGATAATTTGACAAATGTGAACAATAAAATGAATTTTTTATAATTTTACGCGGATGAAGTCGCATGGGAACAGCTAGTTTGATTATATTCAGGAAACTTCAGGACGTAAGCCTTCAAGCTATTCTAGGATCACAATTAATAGCAGACCTGACTTCGCACAGCCAGTTTAACATTCAAATTTTAATTGATCCCTTAAAATACATATCTCTGTTGAAAGCCATTTTTTACTTTCACTATAGTATTTACTCAATAAAATAAAACACGTGCACCTGTGTCCACTAAACCGTAACTAAACAATAAGACTTAAATTATTGTAAAACAATCTCTTTGTTTAGTTATTTTTTTCATGATAATGTCCGTAATGTAAATAAGGATATGGTTAAATCTATATTTTAACAGTGGTAGAGCCCGCTTTAATGTCTTCGCACGAATGGGTCGGCTCGCCCGGTGTAATACCACGACCACACAAAAAACAAGTGTGAAATGGAAGCAATTCTGTGTTTCGTCTGATGATTGTGGTGCAGGAGGCCTAGTTTTAGTCCCTTTCCCTTTCTACCCTTTTATTAAGTGGTAAGGATGGGAAGGAAAAGTGGATTTAACGGTGGAGGAGACGCATAGAAAGGGGAAATGTTCTCTTTATGTACGTCTCCGTCAATGAAGGGTAGCCGACGCATCTGCAATTGCGGATGTTTATGGGCAGCGGTCGCTTTCCATTTCGGTGGATTCAGGTGGCCGCTTGCTCGTTTGCCACCTTATATTATAAAAATAAAGATGAATATAGAAATTACGGAATATAGAAATGTATTTAAGAACATTGCATACTGTCTACCCTTCGGAGGGACAAGAGCGGATTGAAGGAGATGATGATAAATTTACAATTTCTGTCATCGGCTCGACAGACTCGTGTTGTTTAAAAAGCCGTGCAGTTTACGTGTAGTGTCTAAGCTATTGGACATTTCAGTTTGTATTGTGTTCAGTAAACTCGTACTGGAACAATCGAATTCAAAGAAAAGTATTAAAACGGAAAACATTTCGTAAATGTAACAACTTTTATTGTTTGTAAATGTTGCACTGTCTTCCCTATTTTCATTTAGTACCGAATGTAACGTACGGATTCTAAAAGTAAATAAATAAATAAACATGGAAAGGAAATACAGTTTACTCTTGATACATTTTTAACAGGTTCCATTAACGCTATCTAGTTAATTCCATTTAAATAAATTAAGTTTATTTAAATTATTGCCGATATGTATTTTATTGAGACACTGTTTAGTTCATTTTATAACAATAGATGGAGCTTATTATAGTTTTGTAATGTTTTTTAATTAATGTCAATACAAGGAAATGAGGTGGCACAATTAGACAATTAACATAATTCTTTTCAAAGAAGTTACCGTTAGAAATGTTGTTCTTATATCTAAAGTGTGTCTAAATAAGTTAGATTAGTTTGACAATTCCCTTCAAATTTAGTAGGGATGGTTGTGTGAAATCAGTCTTGAATCATATAGATTTTCGATTTTTATTCTTATAGAATTTGGAATCGATAGATTTATAGTTATAATTTATGAAATAAAAAAAAAACACTGTTTTCTCAAATTAATCTTGACCATAACAAATAATGAGAGTAAATAAATGTTTATTACTTCTACAGCCGTACGTAATGGAATTTGATTTGGCTATTCTTTCTGTCATCGCCAAATTCTCTACATTATAATCAATACTAGAATTGTCCTCTAAATTAGTCAAACAGAAAGTAATAATTTTAGTTGAGTTTGATAATTATTTAAACCAAATATCGATAGTTCAAAATTGTTCGCTATGTGTGTTTGTTTCGTCACTACGGTACCTGTCTATTAAGTATGGCATTTGCCTTCATACAAATTGAATTCGATACTTCATATGTGTCATTTATAAAAAAAAATATTTAATACCAGTTGCTTTGTACTTGTTTCCACGTAACTTTCCAAAAAAAATATCACTTTAAGATTCGTTTAATGTTTGCTTTAATCGCATAGTATATTATTTAAATAAATTATATGTTAAGTTGTGATATAAAACGCTAATTATTTAAATATTTTAATAACTTATTTAAGCATTGATCCTATTTTAAGAAACAAATTTCAGTTAAAAAAATCGTCTAAAACCTTGTGCATCCCAATCTAATTTTAAACCGTTACTCAGAACTTATTCACACACAAAATGGACATAGCTAATACAAAATCTAATCCCATAACAAGAAACACGTAACATAATAAATTAACAAAGAAATGAACAATAAAGATAACTTACCAACCGCCCCAGCTACCACCACGAAGCACAGGAACATACAAACTCGCATGTCGGAGGTCGCAATGACAATGCTGTTAAGTGGTACTAACAGCGTTCAAATAACAAAGCCTTCCCGTGTAATGGTAAAACAATGACTTACAACAGGCGACATGTGGACGACCCGTCAACGATATTTTAATGTGGATTTTCACTGCAAGCATTTGTTCAAATAAATTTAGATATAAAAATTAAGATAACAAAGGTTTGTTCAAAATTTCTTATGCAATTTTCGCAGGAGGAAAGAACAGCGTGACAGCGCGTGACTGCAAAAAAGTTTTTTTTGATAATAGATGCGTCAGAATTATGCAATTGTATTTTTCTGCCTTGAATTCGTTAAAATAACGAAATGTCCGTTGTCTATAGACATCTGAATCGCAGAGACGCCCAGAAATATATTTGTGCCTACACTTCCCCTCCCTTATATAAAAGGATAAAAGAGTACTAAAATTAGGTCTCCGGCATGTAATACGTCAGACGAAACGCTGCATGATTTCCACTTCACGCCTGTCATCTGTGCTGTCGTAGTATTGCACCGTGAATATACCGTTGCGGGGATCCCAGTAGTATCATTGTTAAGAAGACTTTACTTGTAAAGGGGCTCCGAGGCATTAGATGCGGGTGACCTCTCATTATCAGATATTAATAACTCAGGCTAATTATACTTCGTAGTATCTTACTAACATTATAAATGAGATAGTTTAGATGGATGGATGATTGTTAGAGTTAGCCGCGTAAACGGCTGAACGGATCTCGATGAAAATTGGTATAAATGTAAAGCATACTCTAGAAGGAAAATTAGACGATAAAATAGCATATTTAATTAGTTGGCGAACAATTTTTTTGCTACTCAAGTATACTTAGGCGTTAAAAGTTCAGTAATGGAAGGTATATGAAAATAAATAGTCAATATCTTTTAAATGTACTATATTTTAATTTCAGTTGCAATGAAAACTACAAAGTTAAAATATAGTTAAGACAACGTAAACGTTATAAGAAAATATTTTATTTTTTACATCAAAATGTATCAATACTTCACACAGTGCAGCCTAATACGTTCTCACAAAACACGAAAACAATTTAGACATTAAAATTTTTTACTGAACTATAAACAAAAATATTTATTACTATTCCAGCAGTCGAAATATAAGAACATTTTTGTGAGAACATTAAAAATCAGAGTCAATCTTATGCAGTAACTTTATTATAACAAAACCAGTTGTTACATTTCCAAGATGGCCGCCACACTGTCGCTGACTAGAAGAAAAGGGTCTAAGTAATTTTAGAAGCGAAACTAATTATTAACCATTTGAACATACTCGTAATGTTATAAGTTTTGTGTCTAATACTCTGTCTATGAAATAAATTAAAAATTGTTTGATATTTCATTTATAATCTGTCATTAAAATAATGGAAGAATGACAGCTGTCATTTAGTTTTTTTTAAATGATTAAGACAAGCATAAACATAATATTCTTTTGTTTATTTGGATAGTCTTAAACGTTTTTGGACGGTAATTTGTCACTCGCGAAACTATAAATAATCAATTACAATGCCAATGTTACCTTTGTCTTTTTTTATTTCGTTAACGCAAGTTCCCGAAGCACTTGCTGTCTCTGTTTTGTTAAAGGGAGTAAGAGAGATGATGTTATTTTAGTATTGAACTGAAAGTTAGACGGACAGTGTGGTTTATGTAACACAAAAACTAGAATTTAAAAGTACATTTTATTTGAAAAAAGTTTTACTTTATAGATAATACCATGTTTAATACGACTGTTCAAGTATAAAAGGTTTTTTATTGATGTTTCCCGTTGGACCATTCGGACCTATGGGTATATGTTGCTATTTCTATTTTGATTGAAATGTGCATAATTTGAAAAAAACTAACTTGTTTGTCAAAAGGGAAAAACATCATTGGATCGATTGATCGGCCCAACGGGAAACATCCTTGCTAATTACTATTTAAAATCAGAGGTTATATTCCATATTGTCAAAATATGATTTCTAAGAATTTATTTGTTTATTAAAATTACAATATGAATTATACATTTCACTATATTTACTTCAAAGTTATCTATTGCTTATAGTTTTTTAGAGGCGTTGAATTATCACTACTGAATACTTTTATTGCTAATTTCGAGGTTATGTTTTCCTGTTAAGGTGTAAATTCTATACATTTTATACAATTTATTTAAAATTCTATTACAAGAAAGAAATATAAATGGTTAAAATCAGTCAAAGAGTAATTTGTGTACTCTTTGACAGTGTAGATAAAAAATAAAAGACATAGATGTTTTGAATGCGTGGTTAAAGGCACAAATAATTTAAGTACTTAAATACGACAAACCGTAATATATAGGACACCAAAACATTTACAGCCTTACAAATAAAGTTACACTTAGGAATATACCGAGTATAAGCAAATATTAGTACAAATTTTGCTTATACTCAGTTTATTGCTAAGATTAACTTTATACCGTTTATTTGTAAGGCTGTTAGAAATAAAACATTTCATAGATAAAATATATTCAAAATGACTTTTCCCTACGAATACTAAATACGCGTACATTAAATACGTGATACATTAAGTAAATACCGTAGAATTCCACGCACGTGACACTTATAAAACATATTTCGTCTCATAACCTTTTTGACAACAGAGACAAAATTACATATAGTCAGCTTGTAGCTTGTACATGTATACATTTACAAATAAAAATCTGTATACATCAGTTTCAAAAATAATTTTGTCGGTCGACATGCATTTTTTAAAACAGTAGACAAATTTTTAATCTGTTTAATTGTATACATATGCTGATAATAAAAGTGTCACTGCAATGGTGTACAAGAACAAACCATCAAAAATTATATTTAGCAATTTATAATTGCGTTTACTTATGTCTTAAGTTCTACACGGTAAAGAAAAAACTTATATAGTTTTATATTACATTAGTTGACTCTACCTTTAGCCCGTTGTTTATAATTTTTGGCATGCTACTATTTTGTAGCTCTAAATTTGTTATACCTAATACTTATTATTATCGTTTGGAAAAAAAAAATTCTAAATATAACTATGTACATAGGAACGACTGTTATGTATTCAAATTCAATTTATGTACAAATGTCTTGTTTAAAAGTTTTGTCTCTATTTCGGAAACAGATCTTGTTATTTGAATGTGGATTTTTTACAACAAATGTTCCTGTCGGTAACTACAAAATCCATTTGTCCCTATAAGTGTTTTTTATTAAGATTTGTATGAAAGAATTTCCATTACTGTTTTTAAATACAATATTTTGACCGTTACAATTCAGTTATTTGAAAGATGTTAGTGTTAAACACTTGGAATTGCTTTTTTACCATAATATGTGTAAAACATACATGTTATTGGTTATTTATTTGAACGATACGATTAATTGAAATATGTAAATACAAATTTCACTACATCCCTAGTCGAGGAAAAAGGTCCATCAACAGAATTCAATCTGTTCCTATGTCGACTCAACTATGATTCAGTTACGACTACATGCTCATGCAGCACTGGCGCAAAGCTAGTCGCCAAGCGTTTTTGTCTAGTCCGTGAATGCGATACTTCAAATCGATTATTGCGCTAATA